GTGTTGGTGCCCCCAACACCCCAAGCCCAGCAGCCCCTCAGCAGGGGTATCAGGGTGTCCACATCCCTGAAAAGCCTGGGCGACAACCCCCTTTTTTCTTTTTTTTTCCCCTTTTGCGAGATCATTTCACCTGATATTTGCTAGGTAGTTGACTACATAATAATTCAGGAGTGTGTTAGACGCCTAATAGCCTTCTCGCTCCTCTCTTCTCCTCTCATTTTCTTTACAAATCATTTAAGAATCGTTTTGTTAATGGTTTCCGGAAAAGCAAGTATCGCCATTAGCACTCATTCATATTTATGTCATTTTATTTGGGTAATTAAACACAAAGCTCGTCATTTAAAGGTGCACTATCCTTCTCCGTTATCACTAACGAAGTCAAAGTCAGAATGACAATGAGCTCGGCGCAGCGAGGCCGGGCGGGGACCCTGGCAGAGCAACCTTCGGCACCTTCAGCCCTTGCCCTGCCTCCGGTGTTTGCACCCAGAGGTGACACCTGGGTGGGTTTGGGGGGACACAGCACGTTCACCAAGTCCCCGGACGCCCCTGGGGCAGCAGCAGCAAAGCCAGCAGGATCCTGGCTCGGTGGGAGGTTTAGATTGGATATTTGGAAAAATATCTTTACTGCAAGAGTGGTGAGGGGTTGGCACAGGCTGCCCAGGGCAGGGCTGGAGCCACCACCCCTGGAGGTGACCTAAAAAAGTGCTGATGTGGCACTTCTGGCCCTGCCTGACAAACCTCAGTAACAACGCGAGGTTTTCTTCTCTTTAACATGATGTATGTGATTGTCTTAAATCACTGATGTCATTTCAACCTCAAGATTTTGCTTATTTCATTGGGTTTTTTTCTTATTATTTTAAACTCGTCAGGTTTTGCTCCTTGCTTCTGCCCCTAGACATGATGGAAACGCTCCCTGCATACAAAGTAGGGCACTGAGGAAGATTTCAGGGAAAGGGGAGAAAAAAAAAAATGAAAAAAAAAAACCCCAAGAAGCTGCCTTACGGTTGCAGACCTGCGTACAGCTAGATTTACCCAAGAATCCCAAAGCTTTTAGTTTAGGAGAATATTTAATACTCTTATTAATCATTTTTAATCCGTTTGCTTTTAATTAAGAAACAGCATGATGCTTTCCTATCAACATATGCCAGGGAGCAGATTAATTGTGGCTTAAGATAACTCTCCTTGATTGGTGTAATGTATTAGCTAACGAGATGCCCGCTTTTAAAGACGCTCAGACGCTACCTTGGAAAGCCTGCTGCCCTCCAGAGAGCACTCACCCCCCTGCTTCTGGAACCCCTGAGCGTTTGTGACTTTAAAAATAGAATAAAATAAACCAAAGGAAAATAAAATAAAATAAAATAATGAAACTCCGATCGGAGGGCTGTGACAAAAACAACCCAAGAGCAGGCTCCAGAGATTGCTCTTCAGATTGTCGGCTTCCCAGTTGGAGCACAATTAAAATAAGAAATCCTCCAGGCGGCTCTCAGATGAGGACCACGGCGTCTCTCACGGCTGATCCGTGTCCTCACTTCTGTCCCCACCTCTGTCCCCGTGGCATTGAAGCCCCCTGGGGACACGAGACGCTTGGTGGAAGGAGGGCAGAGGCTGCCTTGGGCAACTCATGGCCAGGGGAAAGGAAAAGAATGCGAGAGCCTTGGGAGAACTTCACTGAACCTAAGCCCAGGAACGACGTAACGTCTTGGTGAAACTGCTTTTCCACTTACCTTCACCGTCCCTTCAACTTCCACAAACCAGCGTCGCAGCATAGCCTGGATCTGCCCATCAGTCAGCTCGGGATTGGCGTCGTGGATCTTCTTTTTCACCACATCTTCTAGAAGAAGACGTCGTAACCTCCAGTAGAAGAAGGTACGGGAAGTTTTCCAGTCTAGGACGTCCTGCCCAAGACATAAGTGGAGAAGGACAAAGAAGTGAGGGATGTTTCCATGGCAAAACACACCTTAGTCCCCAAAATCTCGCCCTCGTTATTTTCTTAGTTCTACCACTTGCACAAGAGAAATACAGAGACTCCTACAAGACTTTGGTCGCTAACGAGTCACCAGTGAAGGCCGGAACGTGTGGGATCTCAGGCGGGAAAGGATCAGGTGAAGGTGCTAGAAAACACAACGCGTTTGTGTTCCGGGGCCAGGAACCAGCTGGCGGGTGGAGAGGGTTTGCTCCTTCAGGGGAGAGGTTTCCCTGCAGGCTGCCTCCGGACCGGAGACCGACGTTGCCCCCGTGTCCAACCCGCCCCAGGGCAAGCTGCGCGGCACTCACCGTTATGACGCCCTTCTCCTGCATCCGCCCGGGCGTGTCGTGCAGGTCGGCGAACTGCATGGCCACCTGGTGGTAGATGGGAACGAGGAACTCCTCCCGCTCCTTCAGCTTGGTCTCCAGCTCTTTCCGGTCAGCAGGGCTCAGCTCGGGGGTTCCTGCAACCAGGCACGAGCACGCGTCAGACACCTCAGGCAGGGTGAAGCAGAGCAGGGCACAAAGCAGGCGGAGGAAAGCTGAGCAGGTTTCTTCTGTTGCTGCACACCGGTGAAGCCCGGATTGCTGCTGGCCAGGAGAAACACCAGACCAGTCGCTCCCAGCAACGCCGAGCAGAGCCTGAGTCAAATCGAAGTGTTCCAGCCCAGATTTCCTGCCAGCCAGCCCGGCTCTGCAATCGTGGTGGGAAGCCAGAGCAACCCAATTCCTCCCCAACATGAGCAGATTAAAGGAGCAGGCAGAAGCCCTATAAAAGCCCCACAAAGAGGGAACACTCCCACACAGGGCTCTGGGCAGCCTGACCTAGTGGGAGATGTCTCTGCCCATGGTGGGGGGGTTGGAACTGGATGATCTTTAAGGTCCCTTCCAACCCTGACAATTCTACGATTCTATGATTCTAAAACCAAACTCATTGGCACCAGAGATGCTGGGCACCAGGAGCACCACAGACAGCGATCACACGGAGTGAGTGAAGCCCATTGCACAGAGATCATGCGTGAATCCGTTCTCAGGAAGCCTCTAAACCCTGGAAGCTGAGACAGCGCCCCGGGGAAAGCGTCACACGATGCTCCTGCTCCTGCCGTGGGCGACCTCGCACAGAGCCGCGACGCCGGGGCTCGGGCTCAGCCCCACCTTCGGGGGCCTCAGGCAGGCAGGTTCTGCACGACCCACGGTGTCATTTCCTTCCAGAGCTTCTCTCTCAAGCCAGACCAGGTTTGAACACACACACCCCCCCACACGTCTCCAAGCCACAGGCCAGCCAGCCCATGATTCTTTGTAGGGAAGGAACATTTCTCTGTGCCTACCCATATAAATGTTATGTAACCTCTCGAAAACACTAGTAAGAAGGTTTTAATGAAGAGAGGCTACTCTTCTAACCTTCAGAATAAAAAATTATATATATTTATCCACGTTACATCCCCAGGCTCCTGCAGCTCCCCGTTCCGAACGGCAGTGCAGGCACTTAAGCCGGGGACGCTCACGTACTCTGGCCTCTCCGCCGCGCTCGCGGTGTACAGTCAAACCAGCCAGGCCCAGTAATGATTTAGGTGAGATTAACAAATATGTCAATGTCTATTTTCTGCTTAATTTAAAAGCAGCGTCTATAAAGATTTTTGACTTCTGAACCCTGTTCTCCTGGAAGAAAGAAGGTAACAATGAGGAGGGGGGATAAAGAGTGATTATCCCATCATCGATCGTTTGTCAGGAGCATTTCTTATTCACTGGACTATTGTAAAAAGCTAAGCTCTCGATCAATCCCGTAAGCCCCCTGTACAATTAAATATCTTGGAATGGTTTTCTTTCTTTCCTAGTCAGATCTTGAGGCCTCAGGGTTTTTCGGAAAAAGCCGGGGCTTTATTTATTTATTTCCTGGGAAGCCTCCTTCCACAAATCTTCCGCTGGCAAGGAGAGGGGAGTTAAAATATGGGATTCCTTTGCTCTAAAGGTACTTGACAGTTAATGAAACTGTTAAAGTTTAAATCATAGGAACATTATAGACCTCTGGCTATGGATCGGCTGCTAATCAATAGAGGAACAAAAGAAGCAGCGCCGAAGCGGCCACACCACGACGCAAAGGCGAAGCGCGGTGGGTTTCAGTGGGCGGGTGGGGCACGGGGGCAAGAAAAGACGACAATTCGAAGGAAGGCAGAACACGTGTGACCTTCCGAAGTGGGCAGCAGCGCAGGATGCTTTCTAAGGCAGCGCTCTAAGGGCCACAAAATGTCACATTTACCTGGGCTGGCAGTTTGCCACGCAGCCTCCAGTACGCTCGTATCCACGGATGGTGCCGGTACCATCAGAAGAGGCCGGGGAAACATCGTAATTCTGCTCTCAACACCTTTAAAGCCTTCCCACAGGGGGAAACGCACCGAGACCTCTTCGTTCTGTGACGTCTTTTCCTTTTTTGCTCTGTTTTGGTTTTTTTTTTCCCCATCGGTAGCAAAACTGCCTTAAGGAAGTTGAACAAAAACCGCCCTGGAGAAGCAGTAATGTCGGGGGGACCAAAAAGGTTAAGCCTCTTCCGAGGTCAAACAAGCACCAGCCCGAGTCTTGCCAAAACCCTCTGCACAAACACACCCAGTTAAACCACAAAACCCAGTTCAAAGCCACAGCGGGGACACGCACGCGTGTTTTACAGCCCGCGAGCAGGGAGGAAGGCTTCAGAGGAACGCAGAGCGGTGAATCCACGCCCATTCCTCCCCCCTAAAGCGCTCCGACGCTGAGTATCAATTTATACGCCTCTGCAGAAGTTAAGGGAAAGCATCAGGGCAAGGAAAGCAACACCTAAACTATTTTGATTTGTACTCCATTAAACAAACAAAAAATCTCTGAAGCAAGCAGCGTCTCCCAGCATCCCTCTGACGACAGCCCCGGGCGAGGGACACTGCCCAGCCCGGCGGTGGCTGCGGTGCCAAGGCATGGGCTGCCCGTGATTAAGTTCCTGCCAGATGGGAACGGCTTTAAATATGACCAGTTTTTTTAAATACGACCAGGTTTTTAAATATGACCAGATTTTTAAATATGACCAGGGTAACAGGTAAGATAAAACGACTTTGAGAAATGTTACAGCAGGTTCCCTCTGACCGCAGGAAGCCAGGCAGCTTCTGAAGCAGTTTGACGGTTTATGGTTTCTAAGCTGTTCAAAGTGTGAGATTTTGTCCCGTTTGTCCATTTTCTTGACTTTTCCTCCACTCAAAAGACCTGGGCAAAGCCCTGCATAGAGACCCCTGACCCGACTGATTTGAGGAGCCAGCCCTCACGCCGACCCTCAGGCTCCGCTCGCTGGGAGGGGAACAAAGCAGACGGCTTCAACCTGACCCTCACCTTCTCCTCCTCCGCCTTTGACGCGGGTCTCGCCAGAGAAAAATTCAGCAAAGGCAGCAAGAACGGCAGCGGGGCCCCGCCGCCCCAGC